GCTTAAATGTCAAAGTGCGTTTTTCTGCTTTCAGAATAATTTCAAGACAGTTTCCTACATTTCTCCCAGAAAGCAGCACTGACCATTCCTGCCAAAAGCCTGGAAGCCTGTTCCATCACAGACTTCCAACTTCTTGAAAGAATTTTGCAAATTAAGCAACAGGCGCCTAACGCTCATACAACTCAACCAGCCGTAGAGCAGATCTGTTTCCCATTTCTAGTTGGAGTTTCAAGGACTTCCTTTTTCTAATTGCTTCCTCGGTTGCTATGTGATGTTGGGACCACTGCCTCCTCCCTTTTTAGATCAGGACTTGACTTCGTTCTGTCACGTGGGATTCTGAACCAACTGGGAGGAGTTTGGGGATGTGGGCTGCATCTGTCAGGCCAGCTTATCAGGGGTGGTCGCCATCATGAATTGCTTCTAGAATAGTAAACCATCCTGCTAAACCACCTCTGATGACTCAATGGGATCAGTCCTTACAGAGTAAGCTTCCCGCCCTAATACATGGGTTTATTCATTCTTAAAAGGAGCAGGTTACCGTTAGGTGCCTCTCTCTCTCTCTCTCTCTCTCTCTCTCTCTCTCTCTCTCTCTCTCTCTCTTTCTCATTTTCAGTTGAATTTTCCAGAGCCCAGATTTCTGTTCTCACTGAGCTCTGTCACATTTGTGTTATTTCCTCTGCCATTTACTCGGGTTGCTCTGACCCACATTTTTCTTTTCTTTGTTCCTGAACAAAAGCTGATTTCTTTCTGAGGAAGTTGGAAAAGCAAGACTTATGTGCCCAATATGTTTCCCAACCCTCACATGAGAAAAAGGGCACACCCAAGACTATCAAAAAACACTCTTATACCAGTCACAGTGCCAGATGCTCTGAGCTGTGTCTTACTGTGGGCTCACTCGCACAAAATAAAACAGATTCCCCTAAAACAAAGGCTTCCGGTCTCCAAGCCCAATCACAATTCTAACAAATATCTTACCATTCCAGAGCTTTGAATATTTTAACATAATTTTAAGGTGGTGTGATTTTTTTTAATGGGGGGGCGGTGTTTGTTGTACATAGGACACTACATTAAGGCAGCCAATCCTAGCAGTCTTTCTCAAATGGCTTCCAAATCTCAGTGGCACCTCCACCTCTTCCTGTTCACTCCTTATGTGGGTCCCTAAGTGTGGGTGGTTCCCAGCTGTACTGCCTCTCCATTATTAGTGCTACGATGATTAACATCATAAATGAGCACATGCCTTATCTTGAAACAACCAGGTATTTGTGTGCTATGCTTTTGTTACTATTGTTGCAATTTTCCCTTTCCTCCTTCTAAAGATAGGTGTCTGTCATTCTGCTTCATCCATGCCCCTTTCATTTATTTATTTTTTAAATATTTTTTCTTTGATTTCAGAGAGGAAGGGAAAGGGGGAGAGAGATAAAAACATCAATGATGTGAGAGAATCATTGATCGGTTGGCTCCTGTATACCCCCCACTGGGGATCGAGCCCGTAACCCAGGCATGTGCCCCTGACCAGAATTGAGCCCAGGACCCTTCAGTCCACAGGCCGATCCTCTATCCACTGAGCCAAACCAGCTAGGGCCATCCCTCTTTTAGCCGGAGGGCTGTAATCTCGCAGTGTTTATTTAATCCACACATGGGTTTGGAAAACGTAGGAAAATGAAGAAATGAACCTTGGAGTAGACTTAGAAATGAGAGGCATGAATTTGGCGGATGTAATGATTTAAGTTAGGACAGGGCACGGTTTAGAGAGCTCCTGAGGCAAAAGTGAAAGAAATCAATTTGGTGATGGGGGAATTTTATTCTAGTGAAAAATA